GGGAGGGTAGAGAGGGTCCGGATCTCCACGGGGAGGTCGTTCCAAAGGGCTGGAGCTGCGACAGAGAAGGCTCTCCCCCGGGGAGTCGCCAGCCGACATTGGCTGGCAGATGGAATCCGGAGAAGACCTAACCTGTGTAATCTAATCGGTCTATGGGAGGTAATCAGCAGGTAATCGGTATAAAATTTTTAATCAAGCCCCCCCCCCCCGCCCCGGTCAAAGGTGTCCCTCTTTACCAATCTGAAAGTCTGGTCACCTTATGCATGGTCTCTTTAGTTCTCCTGAAAACTTGATGAAAATAATATGCTGAAGCAAGAATTTCAAACTTTTTCAATTATTGAAAATAATAATTATAAATTATAAAAAATATAAAATATAAAATAATACTGAAACTTGTAATCAACAACAAAAGCTGCAAGGAAAGCAAAATAAAATAGCTTCAGAAAAGAGAAAAAAGAATATTCTGACTTAACTTTGAGAATTTTATATCAATATAATAATTATTACTTGTGGAAAAAAAACTTGTGAACAGTCACTTTTAGCTCATAAAGTTATACAGGCTGTAACTTTAATATTCCAGAATGAAAAATATATTTAATTGAGAAAGAAAACGAGCAGCAGTTAGGCCAGAAAATAGATAATAGATACAGATTTTCAGAGAACTGGAAACTGATAAGCGATCTTGAGGTCAGTTTTGTGTGGAACAGTCTCCAAGTGGTCAAAACTATAAGACTGATCTCCATTTTTTTTGCTTACAAAGGAAAATATAACTTAAACTTTTGTAGAACTCAAGCTATACAAAATGTCAACATGCTTTCTGTTTTTTAAAACTAAGGAAAGAAACCTCAGATGTCCAAAAACTATTTTTTATTTTGTTTTACTGGATTTTATCAAGTGCTTAAAGGAGAAGCTTTTATGTTGCCAGAAAAGGCAATGGTTTATAGCTTACTTTTAGTGCTATTAAGATCTAATCTATCATTCATTCAGTCAGCTGTATTTGACAAGCTGCTTCTTAAACTTGAACTTTGTCATTTGGTGACAGATAACCCTGCCTGTTTACTCAATTTTCTTGTATTTTTTTTCTTTTCAAGACCTTTTGCTTTGAAGTGTCTCATTATTAATCACTGCCTTTAGATGTGATTTATTACATCAAATAGGCTCAAGAAAGGGACAAAAAGAAAATAGTGATGCTGGGGGAAGGGAAATCCAACAATGTATCATCAGCTTGAAAAAGTAGAGAATGCATGTCTCTTTCCTAGGAGATATAAGAGAAATGACAAGAGAATTAACTGATAGCTGCAAAAAAGTCCAATGCCACTGCATGCAAAAAGTTAATATTTTAATTAATATATAATAAATTGGAAGAGGGGAATGGATACATAAGGTAGAGATGGGACATATTTCACCCTAAATCAGTTTATCTCAGAAAAAAAAGTGAGAATGGGAATTGGGGGAAAGTATGTCTATCCAAGTGTTTCTCTACTTGCATTCATTTTAAATCTATGTTCTTATAGATGCTTTATGATAAAAGTACTGTTTGCAGACACTCATACCTTTACTTCTAAATACTAATGTCAATATTATTACTACTGTATTGTTTTTTTCTATGATGTCATGCCAAAGGCCAAGGAAATTGTTTCCTTAGATGTCATATCAGAAGGAGACAGGTTTTCTGGATGGTTTGCATGATACTAAGAATATGAGGACATCAATAAGTTTGAAATATAATTTAATGTAGAGAAATTTAGCCACAATCTGAAACAACAGCTTTTGGTAAGATTTCTTGACTCTGTATGCTGTCTAAATCCAGGAAAAACTGAAGAATGCTAAGTCTCTCTTCAGACATGAAGCTAGATTATATCATAGAATTTTATCAATCCCAGGCTAAGTGGTGGTAGGATTAGCATTCCTCTACTTTAAACATGGAGAATATGGCACTAATTGAACCAATGTTATGTCCTTTGTTGGGAAAAGAAAGCCACACTTCTCCCATTCACTACAATGGAAAATTCAATAGTGTAAGTGGCTTGAACTTAATGGTAAGCAGCTGCTGGATATAAAGAGGAAGAAAAGAGCTTGGCTTGGAGAAGAGCTTTGATAAGCATCTTGAAGGCAATGAAGATGAGACAGGGCAAACAGACAATGTCTGAATCAAAAATATTTCTGAAACATGGAACTGGGCCAAGGAAGTGTTTATGAGGATATCAACTCTGCTAGTGAAAGTTGACTACATGATTGTACTCCAGAAATAGCCTCTGATGCAAATTTTGAAGTACCCAGCATTTTGATTTATAATAATAAGATAGAAGGTCAGTCAGTAGCCATTTAATTGTTCTAGCCCTTCTTTTAGTACATATGATCTTTTTCATAGTTTAGGTTTAGGTTTAGGTTTCGTTTTACTTATATGCCGCCCTATTCCCAGCGGGACTCAGGGCGGCGCACAAACCCAAGGGGGGAAAGGGAAACACACAAACTACAAATACAAGCATTTAAAAACCAACAGCCACACAAATCCAGAGGGGAAGGGAACTCATCAACCCCAGGCCTGCCGACACAGCCAGGTTTTAACGGCTTTTCGGAAGGCCTGGAGAGAGATGAGGGTCCAAATCTCTGCGGGCAGTTTGTTCCAAAGGGCCGGAGCTGCCACAGAGAAGGCCCTNTTAAAAATGTATTTACCGGTAATTAATTATAGAAAGATACAAATGTTGCAAACTCATCCACTTACATGGATCACCTCATATCATAATCGATATCTCATATCTTTTGCAATTGTCTTTCCTGTTTTTCAATGGCATTCCATAAGAAAACGTTTCCCCACCATGATTTGTGACATCTATTCCATACTATATTCCACATCCATGTATTAACTTAAGGAGGAGGGGATTGATATGCTAACAAACACATATTTGTTCCACATGGTTTCACATCTTATGTGTTTATTGTAGTTTTGAAAGAGCGTGTATATTTTACTCAATTAGAACCTGCTGGACATAGGGTTAAAATGTATCGCTATTACTTAATTTTTGGGTATGATTCAGCAGTTAGAATAGTTTGCAAAGGTACAAGAAGTTCTATATGTCATCCTCACACATGCAAGTTACATAGCAGAATCCTCAAGATCCAATTTTTATCATATGTTTGATTAAACATTCATGATACTCTTTTTCATGCAAAATATAGTTAATGGCATGTAAAACTTGCATATTTCTACACTCTAAAAAAAAGTCCAAGTTGACATACTTTCTAAGACAGAGGTGTCAAACTCACATCGTCACAGTGTCGTCACGTGACATATTGGGACTTTTCCCCCTTTGCTAAACCAGGCGTGGGTGTGGCCAGCACATGATGCTTCCGGCCTGCAGGCTGGGAATTTGACAGCCATGATCTAAGGTGACTCATTATCAGAATTATAGAGATATGGATAGATAAAGAATTTTATTTTTAAAAAACTGATCAGAATTTAGTTGTTGAATGTGATAACTGAGGTTAGTTGGTGCTTTCACTTCATATGCTCCAAATTCCTGCAGGGGACACTGCTGCTTTAACATTGGATATTCAGGGGCTTTGCAAAGAGAAGTAGTTAAATAATGAAACCTAAAATGCAATATAAGAAAATATTTTCTTCTCAGGCATCAAGTAAGACTGTTGATAATTTCTTATTTTCTTTTGTCAGTAGGTCATAATATTTCAAAAATCCTTTTTAAGCAATAGCTTTGCTATCATGTTTGTTTTTCATTCTTTCACTCACCTGCTAATAAACCAGAGATTCTATGTTTAGAACTGTATACAATGCATATGTAATTAAAACAAACTACAAATTTATTTTGACTTGTTTTTGTAAAAGATTCTCATGATTATCTTAGGTGATGTTGTTTGGTCCTAAATGAAGAGTTCATTTAAGGCTAGTAATACAGAACATGTTACCACTTTTAGTTGCATATTATATATACTTTTAGTCCTACTGAGTTGTTTCACATAAAGCAGAGTATGACTCATAAAGCAAAGAAGACTTTTTAAAAGAAATATATCACACTTAAATTAGTTTAGACAGCATGACATCAGAGAGTAATTAAATAGGTTTTTGTTGGAATTCCACTTCCAATTCCTGAGTTCAAGTTTGTAAAAGATTTCTAAGCACCTGCAGGTTTCTGTGTGTGAAATATTTTCACTGGAAGGGATTCAAAACTTTTTTTAAAAAACCTTTTAACACAGAGGCAGCATTACGCCATTCTTCCTTCTTGGGGAAAAAAAAATCCTCTCAGATTTAAACAAGAGTCCTTCAAGTTTTTAGTCATTTTTAAGGAAGAAAGGGGGTTGGTTAAGTTTCTCTTTTTAGGAATAAACTGCTGGCAGCAATCAGGAGACAACGAATTGAACATATTAGCATTTCCACTATGGGACTGGATACAAATATTACAAAAATTGATTTGAAGTTCTGCATATTGAAAATAAAGCTCTTTTTGCTTATTTTGCCTTTTAATCTATTTCATTTTTTATACCAAACCAGAGGAACCTTTTTAATTTTTTTATTTGGTGGCATTCAAAGGAAGACCAGAGGATGAAAATCCAGTATTTTCTTTCTATACTGCTTTTGCACTTCAGTTGGTTTTATCTGGTTTTCATTTCCTTAATATTGAATTGTGCTGAACCAAGCCAAGGTAACCTAGGGTTGAAATTAGGATTATCTAAAGTAGATGGAAAAGAGAGGCACCCATTACCAAGGACAGGTTCTTTTAGAACAGGGAGCCATGACTATAATGCTGGCAATTCCAAACCTAGAACAAGAAGTAATATTGCTCAAGCTGGAGCTCTCTTGGCAAAGAGTGACAATTTAAAGACGACTCTGCCTAAAGCAAGGAATACAGAAAAGCATGGAGGACTTACTTCAAATAGACAACCAGGAATAAGGACGGTGACTCCAAAGGTTCAGAATTTTGGCCCTAAGGCCCCACTGAAAAAATCTGGCACAGGGAATCCACATAGTTCCTTCAAAACCAAAACAATCAAAGAACCTATTACCCAAAGGGAATCTAAAGAGGCATTCAGGCATCCTGCTGTCATACCACATGAATATATGCTTGCCTTATACCAAGCTCTTTCTAATGCAGAACAGAAAGATATAAATGGAAGTATGAAACTGGAGATGGGACTTGCCAATACAATTACAAGCTTCATAGACAAGGGACAAGGTAAGGAAACCTGTGTATTTGCAGAAAGACACAAAACTTGGCTATTCACAGATGTTTACATCCTAAATGGATACTTTAAGAACATTTGTACTGACAGATTTTGAGATTTGTATTAATGTAAATGCTAATTTTCAGAATGTGATGTGTTTTTCTTTTCTGCATAAAACATTGCCATCACTTTATAAGATAGTCCTATATATCTGATAGAATAAGAGCTGAATAATGTGTTCCTGTTGTCTCTTTCTATTTCCGAAAAACACAGATTAGCAAAGAGGAGCTGTCTGGAGTATTTCTTATTTCTTATAATGAAAGTAATTCAGATATAGTTTTAATTCAAATTCAATATTACAAAATAAGCAGGAGAATTAATATTTCTGCAATAAAAAGACTATAAGATCAAAGGAGGTTATCTACATTCTTCTTCAGACCCTCATAGGCAACACAGCAATCTGTGAATTGTTCTTAAATCTCATGTTGGTGGCTGATTTTTCTTCCACGAATACCCTTGAAATGAGCAGTGTGTACAACTCAGGACTTTAACTCATGATATCTATATATCTGTAAATATACTCAAAGGAGAAAGAGTTTTGTCTGAATGAAATTCCTGGTTGAATGTTTAAATCCAATATATATCATTATTATTTATGCTTAAAATTAACCACCTCTTCCTGACAAGTATCTTTGAAGGAAAACAATTACTGAAATATATCATCCACAAGCATATTATCTGTATTTTTCTAGCTTAAAATATGTCCAGCACATAACCATATTATGCTTATATGCTTTCCATGATATATTACTACAACAAAAAGAACATCATAGGCACAAAGTTTTAATCTGAAGTTCAAGTTCAAATGTATTTTATTGGAATTTAAGTTCTAATTAGGTTACATGTAGTGTATAAAGCTATTTTTTTCTCTTAAATGTTGAAGAGTTGGTCTAATATATCTCCATGCGATATGAACTGCTTACAGTGCCGTAAAGCCATTTTATAATCCCAAAGTCATTATGCACACGTGTTAGGAAAAATAGAAAAATAGTACACATTTCTATTCAGAAATACTTGAATCTCTCTCTGTTTTTTCTCTTTAGATGACCAAGCTCCAGTTAAAAAGCAAAAATACATTTTTGACATCAGTGCTCTAGAGAAAGATGGTTTACTGGGGGCAGAATTGCGGATTTTAAGAAAAAGAGCTGATATTTGGAAACCTCATCCTCCTGAGAAAACCTATCAAGTGAAGCTATCCAGTTGCTCTACAAGTAGGCAAGCATCCATTATCTTGGAGTCTCGAACAGTCAACGTCATAGATACAGCAAAATGGGAAGTGTTTGACATTTGGAAAGTGTTTAGGAACTTTAAAAACTTTAATAACTTGTGTTTTGAACTGGAGACTTTTGAAAAGGGGAGGCCTGTTGATTTAAGGATTGTGGGGTTTAATAGAACAGGAAGGCAAGACAAGGAAAAGGCTCTTTTTTTAGTATTTGGTAGAACAAAGAAAAGAGACTTGTTTTTCAATGAAATAAAAGCCAGATCTGGTCAAGATGACAAAACTGTTTATGAATACCTATTTAGTCAAAGAAGGAAGAGAAGGGCTCCTCTAACAACCCAACAAGGAAAGCGGTCAAACAAAAATTTGAAGGCAAAATGTAGCAGAAAACTACTCCATGTGAATTTTAAGGATATGGGTTGGGATGACTGGATAATTGCTCCTCTTGAATATGAAGCATATCATTGTGAAGGACTTTGTGAATTTCCTCTTAGGTCTCATCTAGAACCCACCAATCATGCTGTTATCCAAACATTAATGAACTCGATGGATCCAGAATCAACACCTCCCACTTGTTGTGTTCCTACAAGGCTGAGCCCTATTAGCATTTTGTTTATTGATTCTGCAAATAATGTCGTTTATAAACAATATGAAGACATGGTGGTAGAGTCGTGTGGATGTAGATAACAGCACAAATGCAATTCTCTTCTTTTCTTTTAAATAAAATACAAATAGAGTACACCGAGCCTACAGAAGAGCATAATAAAATTATCCAAAGCCTTCTATCCTGACAATAGCAGGATTTTAATGTTGGCAAGTTTTTTATTACAAGGATTCTTCTGACTTGCTTTATTATGAGGAAGTTGTAATAAAGAATTATTTTTTTTAAAAAACAGCAAACGTAGTAGCTTGGCGTCACGTTTAAATTATTCCTAACTGTGCTAGTAATATCTACAATATTCCCAAGGCCACATCTAGAGATACTTATTACTGTCACTATAGCAACACAGATATTTGTGGGATGTACTGTATGTCCTCAAACCATTACATTAAATCATAAGTCAGATTGTTACTACCAGGGGTAGTTGTCACACTGTATCTTGAGGTCAAGTATGGGTCAAGTCTGTTTCTAAATAGACTAGATTGATAAAACAACATGAAAAATGGACTGTAGTGCCATTGCTTTTACATCCTGTAATTTGCCTTGTTTAAATATTTACTACTCTCTAAATCAGTGCTGTCCCAATACATTTTGCTGCCTGATGTACAGTATGAAATGATGCCTCAATACTCAACAGTGCATCATTAAGACTTCAGTTTTTGCTTTGATTTATCTCCCCTGAAGCAGGTTTCTTCACTTTGCTGTAAGGCAACAGTCAGATCTTCTTTAATCACTCAAGTACACTTCAGTGACACACACATTTTTATCTGATAAACATTTTGACCCAGTAAAAACATTAGCAAATAGGGTTACAATGGACTTGTTTATTCTTTTGCACATTTTTAAAGACTCAATAATATTAAACCATTTAACAGATTAATCGTCCATGGCCTTTATTGTCCAATATATTTATCTTGTGTTTGCTTGGAAAAAAACTTATTTCGTTAATTATATTATAACCAAACTATCTAATAGTTTAAGAAAAATTTCATATATTTAGAACTGTATATTTGTAACAATTATTTAATAGAATGCTGACTTGGTTTTAAACTGTACACATTATATGTGGAATTAGAGAACTGCAAACAAATATGTTTATTTCAGTGTATATTATTTCCATTTTATCTTTTTAAAATGTTGATCTGTTTAGTGTTTGAACACTAGTGTTTTTGTTATTTTGCTTATAAATCATGCTGCACTCTAATGCTTATAATGTTAAACTGCAATAAATTATTGGGTGTTAGATATCTAGATGACATAGTTATTATAATTTTATTAAATCTGTGTTTTGAGTGTCCTGTTTAAAACTAATGGAAGTTAACAATGCATGATTTTGTGATCTGTTTTAATCTTCTCTGGAAAACTGCAAACTATCAAATACATTCATATATACCATGATCGGTACTTTTATTGGGAAATATAAATTAGTAGTTAAGAAAATCTTACATATGTATTCTTTGGACATAAATACCATTGCATTTGACTATACACACTGTGATCATAGTCTAAATCTGTTGTATCCATGTTTCTATTAATTTCTGTAGCCTTATGCATTTTTGGTTCATATTCCATGGCTTTTTTCTAGCTGTCTCTCAATTAATCTCAAAAGAAAAGTCTTTGACTTCAATTGCTCATTAGTTTTTAAAATCACTTGAATTAATGTATTTGTTTGTAGCCTAACTTTTTTTTACATGTCAATTATACATGATAAATTGTCTCTTCATGTTGTTTCCAGCAAAGATTTGAAGTGCCTTCATACATTATAGACAAATTTCTCTGATGACAAATACCAACATCAATTTATAAAAATTCTCTTTAAGGCTACTATATAATGTAAATTCCAATCTTTTCAAACATGTATTTCCCCACTGTCCATTCGTATATTGTAGTCAAAACTTACTATTTCTCATTTATAAAACATTTGATGTGCATTTGATCCACAAAGGTATTTTCAGGCACAACCTAGCCTTTTATTTGTTTCATACTCTAAGAACAGCCCACCAGACATAAAATCTACATTAACCTTGCTTTAATACAGTGGTCCCCAACTTTTGGGGGGCCAGAGACCAGTTTCATGGAAGAATTTTTTTCCATGGGTTGGGGGGAGGGATGGTTTTGGTTTCACTTGCTTGTCCACTTCAATTGGGGGTGGGGGTGGTTTCAGTTTCACTTGCTCACCTGCCACTCTCTCCCAGTATCCCCGGGATTGGGGACCCTTGCTTTAACATACCATAGATGTCCATACCATCCACATGTCTTTCCAATTTCAAAAGCCTTCTATTTTTTAGCAACATCCATTTTTCATGTAGTAATGTAATGAAATCTGATGGTACCAATCCTCTTTTTTTGCTTGTTTACTTATTTATTAGTCTTTGGTATGCAGGTAATAGTATATTGTCCTGCAAGATAATTTTTAAATTAGACATCCTAGTTTGCACAGAGCAGTGTGAATTATAATGGAACTAACAACCTCTCTGGATAATGTGAGGACAGGAGATCTGCTACATTGCTTCAGATAATTGTTCCTCCTAAGGAGATTGTAGGATAGCAGTTTTCCATGGGTTTGGGCTCCCGAAGACAAAGGAATTAACCATCTTGCTTGCAATCTCATTGGAACCCTTCAAAAGACATTAGGTTTACAAGCCTCACTTTCTAATCACTTTTGGAAATTGGCTATTAACTATCATAAATGTGTTAGAATAACAGATCTGAAAAATCTCTGAGTGAGTTTAGCTTCAACACTGAACAAGTAAGAAAGTAATTACAAGATTAAGAATTCAAAGAATTTGAAATAAACAGCAAAAAGCCAAATATGATTTTGATCTAAGAAAGTTACATATGGAGTCTAGTTAAATTTGGAATGTTGACCTTTGCTGTAAGATTTTGGAATTAACCCAGTTTAGATGGAACTGCAAAATGGCACAATGTGTCATAACATCAGAAATATTAAGGGAGAACTCTGAAGAATGGAGCCAGCAATTAGTATTTACAATATCAGAAGTATTAATAATGATGTCAGATTCTATGAATAGATTATCTTCAAAAATGTTAATAAGGGAATGACAGATGTGGAGCAAATTTTGCCTGATAGAATAAAGAAAGCATCAAAAGAGAAACTACAAATGACAATCCAAGAAAAGGATTTGGAAGAAAGATATACAAACAAACTGTTTGAAGCTTTAAATATTAAAGGGGACATATTCATGCTAAAGTAAGACAATGAGCTGAGAAAAAAATATTGGACCAGCAAAAGAGACTTGGTAAAACCTTGAAGAATACTTTGTGATGAAGTAAAGAATTAAAGAGAATCAAATCCTATGATAATATTTGAATGATCTAAAGATTAAGATTTTAGATTAAGGAATCTAAAGTTGGTATATTTAATCACCATTAAAGTAAGATTTTTTTCAAGGTTTATGCAATCCTTTACAGACTTTTTGCTGACACCAGAATTGAAAAGTTTATGTCTTAATGGATTTGCTTGTAGAGAAGGGATGTCATACGGAATGAAGTGACATTGTTTGTAAACATATATACAAAAATGGATGGAAAAGACTGATCTAGATGAACCATTAGTTGGATTCAGCAGACATTATAATGTTCAGCAGAGATTACAATGAAGATTAAAAAGTATTCTTGAATTAAATATTCATTAATATTTAAATGTATCATCGCTGTGTTTGCTCATAAATACAGTATCAAAAAGCACATCAAGATATGGTGAACATTAGAAGGCATAAGTCTCCCTAGCAATAACCTTCTCAGCTACTTAGATTTTAACAGAAATTGGGAAGATTGGCATCTCAAATTATTATTATGGCCAACTATACTTCTTTCCCCTAGGGAACTGACATTATCAATGAATGGTAAACATAGGGAGGTGGGGAAGAGCTGTAAAATGATATTGGTTAAAAGTTCAGCTTTCATGTGGCAGGTTTCTCCTCTCTTTCACAGAAATGCCTCATTTGTATCTACTTTCTGAAGTCATTCTCTGTCCCAAGTGAGTCTTTGTAAAGATTCAAATTTCAAATAAATAGTATACTATGAGACAGGTATGTGCTAGTAATTTTTGTTATATTTGGATAAAATATGAGAACTGAGTTGAATGGGTAAATATGTAAGTATGCCATTTAAAACAATGCATTGCCATTAGTGTTTGAATATGTGCCTAAACTCCATGTGTAATTTGCATGGTTATGTCATTTCCTATATAAAAGGTGATTGTTTATATAACAGTCATATGAAAGATGCAATAACCCAGTATGTGGGCTATTTGAAGTTGCTTTAAAGAAACATAAAAAGCCTTGACCCTCACATAATAAAAAGTATTTTGTGATACTGTTTTATGACATCCTAACCAGTCATGATAAGATTTTTGTTAGAAAAAAAATAGTTTGTGGTTTTGGCATACCTTACTTTAAGAGTTTTTACAGTTGCATAGTCAGTGGATTAAATTAAATTATCACTAAGCTTCAACCATAGTTGATTTTTCATACATTAATATTTTATTTAGTTGATGGATATTTTGACAAGGCCACAGAAATGGAGCAGGATTTTAAAAGATTTGGGCAACTGCAGTTATGACTATGTATAGACACTGATTTTCCCAATACTTCTAATAACCAAATATAAGTATCAAAATTATAAAATTATAATAATTAAAAACTTAATTAAATACTTGTGTCTTTATTTCTAATAAATAGTAATAAAGAATAATAATAATTAAAATAATTAAAATAGATGTTACATTGATTAAATAGAATTTACATATTTAAATAATTAATATTTTCAAAACAGTTGTTTCAAAAAAGAAATAAATCATGGCGATTAAAATGTATTAAAATTGAAATAAGAAAAGTCTATGTACTATTAATATAAAATTAAACCAACACTTTAATATCCAGTTATATCTAGATCATATAAAACCTGTTGTTCCATTTTCTGATTTTTTTCAATAAAAGAACATTTCAAAAATCACTAAGAATCACATCTCTTGTATCTAATCTTCAACATCAATACTGCACCT